TTTTGAGTCGATTCTGACTCATAGTGTCCTACTGGACAGTGTAGAACTGCCCTATAGAATTTCCAAGACTGTAAATTACCCCGGAAGCAGAGTGCCATAACTCTCTCTTACAGAGATTGAGGGATTTGAACCGATGGCCTTTCACTAAGCAACCAAGCACTTAATCCTTGTGCCATGTTCAGCCATCTGTTGATGTACATTTAGGTTGTTTCCACCTTTGGACAATTGCTAACAGTGCTGCAGTGAACACTGGTATACATGTGTGTGCTCAAGTCTCCAACTTCAGAACTGATTCATAGCTCACCCTCCAGTGGGTTTTCAGAGTCAGTAAATCACACTGGAGGAGACTGCCCATCCTTCTACTGAAGAGTATCTGGTGAATTCAAACCATGTGTCTTTCGGAGTGCAGCATAGCTTCTTACCGCTGTTTACCTCTAGCTCTTACCAGAACTCCCTAACAGTGGAATTGCTGGGACATGTGGTAGTTCTATGTTTAACTTTTCAATAAACTGCCAAACACTTCTACACTGACTACTGAATCATTTTGCATCCTCACCAGCAAAGGATGAGGGTTCCAATGTCTCCACATAGTTGCCAACATTTTAAAATATATTCAAATATATATTATTTTTTTCTGTGTTCATATTTTCCTACACATTTCCCTTTTTTTTCACATTTCCCATTTTCATGATCTTATTCCCTTTAATCAGGCAAGAACTAAAAAAAAAGTAAAGTTTGAATTCAGAATAAATAATTTCTGTAAAGTGTATTTTCTAGATTACTTCTTTTCCCCCACATATGTTAAAAATGTTTTTTAACTATCCAAGGAATAGTAGCTTTTATACAGCTTTCTGCCAAACCCCATGTATGTATAATGACTTGTTTAGTCAGTAGAAGCCATGGGATTATTTTTTTTAGTAAAGAAAACACACTTTATAGGTGCATTTGGTAATAAATTTAGAAAGCAAATTTTTGTTCAAAAGAAGTAACATAAATAGCATCTTAACAATAAAAATTATTTACAAATAGAATATGCTACTTTGAGGAAAAATGGATTCTGTTTCTGAAAATACTCAAGTCAAAGCAGGATATTATAGATATTTAAATATTCTAGGGGCAGGAGGGATGACAAAATCAAGTGGCCACTTGCCATGGTATTTTAGATTGTTTCATATATATGGGAAAGGTGAATAATGAATAAACAAGTCTGAAGAAACACTGATCTGTTTGCACTGTTGTGTTGATGAAGAGTATTGACTATGTCAAAAGAACAAATAAATTTGTCTCAGAAGTGCACCCAGACTTTCTTAGAAGCAAGAACTGTGAGACTTTGTCCCATATTCTTGGGAGTTATTACCAGGGGGAGTCAGTCCCGGGGGAAGGGCACCACACTTGGAAAAGCAGATGATCAGCAAAAGGAAGGGTGATCCTCAAAGACCTGGAGTGACACAGTGACTGGTACCATGTGCCCAAGGACAGCAGAATCGGGCAGGGTTTCTCCTTGTTGTACGTGGAGTTGCTATGAGACTGAGCCCCCAATCACACCCAACAACAGCAAAGGTGCCTTCCAGTTTGTAAAACTGATGAATGTGAATGCTCTACCACCTACTGGTTAAGACTTTAGACAATATCGTTTACATCTCTATGCTTCCCTTTTAAAATCTTTTTTGAGAACAATAGTGTCTACCTAATGAGAGTAGCATGTATTGAGCGCTCTAAGCACCTTAGAGGTCAGTTCTTTTTCCTTTTAATTTCTTTTATTTGAAGGAAAGTTTACAAATCACACTGGGTTTTCATTTGGTCATTTATATTTTTATAACATTAATGACAAATGATTAATGAAATTAGTTAATTACAGTATCTACTCAAAGCTATGATAGCAAAAGCCAAGAAAACAAAAGATGTGCTGCACTGGGAAAATCTGGAGACAAGGGCCTCTCCAAAATGCTAAAGAGCAAGAATGTCAGTTTAAAGACTAAAATACACCTGACCCAAGAATGATATTGTCAACTGCTTTCTTTGCATCTTAAAGTTGGACAATGAATAAGGATGACAGAAGAATGAATGTCTTTGAGCATTTGAGCTGTGGTGTTGGAGAAGAGTGCTGAATATTCCATGGACTGCCAAAAGAATAAGTAGATATGTCTTTGAGAAAGTGCAGCCATTGTGCTTGGAGGCAAAGATGGAGCTTCATCCCATGTACTTTGGACATGTTGCTAGGAGAGGTTATTCCTTGGAAAGGGATATTATACTTGGAAAAGTAAAGGGATGGTAAAAAGAGGAAGACATCTATCAAGATAGATTGACAAAGAGACTATAGTAATGGGCTCAAAGGTGTCAGAGATGAGAATCACAGAGAATAGGAAAGGTTTCAGATCAGTTGTTCATAGGGTTGCTATGAGTCATACTTGACCAGATGGCAACTTACAACACTCATTCATAAACAAATTCCAGGTTCCAATTCTGATATGAAGCCTGTTTTAACTGGGTTAATCTTCCCCCACCCCCAAAAAAAAGTCCTTTAGCTTGCTAGAATAGAACTTGTTCTCTGATTCTCTATTTTATCATGAATTAGGCCCTATTATTTTTTTTTTCTTTTTTGTGTGTGTACCATCAAATCAGTTCTGACTGGTACAGGAGGAGATTGTTTCTCCTTCTCCAGCAGAGCATCTGGTGGATTTGAACCGTGCACCTCTGGGATTGCAGTACACCTTCTTGCCACTAGGCCACAAGAGCTCACCAGGCCCTATTATTTTATCTATTCTTGTGATTAAAAGGAAGGACTGTCACAGGAAGTCATCCATCCAATTATTCAGTAAGGACCTATTCTGTTGTCGGCTCTGTGCAAGATGCTAGTTATATACTTACTGCCTCTAGTCGGTTTCAACTCGGACTTGGCAACCCTCTACTGGGTTTCAGAGGCCATGAATCTTTACAGAAAGAGACTGCTCATCTTTCTTTCTCAGAGTGGCTGGTAGATTTGAATTGTCAATCTTTCAGTTAACAGCCCAACATGTTACCCACTATGCCACCAGGGCTTCTTTCACTAGCTATGTGGTGGCAAACAAAACACATGGTTCTTGTTCTCATGGAACATTTGACCATAGGATATTACATTAGAGAAATAATATATGAGTTCAAATTGTGAGAAGAGTTATGAAAAGAACTAAAAGACCATTAGGAAGATAAAAGCATCCCTCATTTCATTGTGCTTCACTTTATTGCACTTCCTAGGTATTATTTGCTTTTGCAAAAGTAAGGTTTGTGGAATGTTATATTAGCAAACTATTAGCACTTGTTTTTCCTACAGCTTGTGTCTTGCGTTTCTATGTCGTATTTTTTAATTTTCAAAATATTTGAAACTTTTCATAATGCTATTGCATATCTAATAGACTATAATGTAAACAATTTTCATAAGCACTGGGAAACCAAAACTTTGACTCCATTGTGATACTCACTGTAGTGTAGTGGTATTGGCCCGACCTGCCATCTCCATGATACGCCTGTACTCAAGGGAACAAAAACTAGATAGAGTCAGAGAAAGGTGCTCTTAGGAATTAATAAACTAGGCTGAAACCTGCCTGCAGAATAAATAGGTATTTGCTGCGGGGGAGGGGGTAAGGCATGAAGGGGCATTCAACTTCATGACCTGAAGCCACATAGAACTTGATGTGTTTAGAAACTGAAGAAAGCCAAGGTGATTGGACTAGAGTAAATTCAGGCAAGCGGTAGAAAGGAAAAGAGAAAGGAGTATGCAAGTCCTTAACATCAGAACCTGATGAAGACCAAGGTACACTGTGTAATTTGCAGAGGTGTGGTGGGGTCAGGGAGGGCAGAGTACTGACTTACAGATACTTTTTGCTTCAAGGTTGTTCTTTACACAATTCAAATGGTGGAAATTAGACCTTGTCTAAGTCTTAAATGAAGTGCATCCAGAATATTTTTTGGAGGTGAAGATCGTGAGACTTTAGGAAATTTATCAGTAGAATTCCATCCTTAGAGAAAGTTATCAGTCACGTTTGGTAAAGTAGAAGGTGAATAAAGAAGAGGAAGACTATCAATGAGATGGCTGACACAGTGAATACAACTGTGGGCACAACAGCAATTATGAGGACGCCAGAGGACTAAGTAGTGGTTCTGCCCTGTTTTACACATGGTCACTAAGAGTAGAATCAACTCAATGGCACTTAAATGATAATCTTGACAAGAGATATGAAGACAGGCATAGTTTTTAAGTGGCTAAGGAATACTGGCCACATGGCATCATTTGTTTCAAGGGTATTGCTGTTGCTTCTAAAGCAGTAAACCCTTTAAAAATGACATCTGATAATTTTGCTTGGAATTTACTTAGAAAAAAAAATCTATGCACTGTCTACAATGAGCACGTTACCAGGAGGAAATGAAGACAGCTGGATTACATTGCCTCTGACTACAAAGGTCGCTACGAATGGCAAGCAACACGTAACAACAACAACAACTTTCTTTATCAAAATAATATTACAAACAGCATTTTTGAAAACTTTATTAAACTGCACAAAGTTCTTTACAAAAACACTATTAGTCATCATGTTTCTAAATTAAAGTTTCTCAATAAATATTGATGCCTATGTATAGGTCACTGAAAGAGAGAGAGATTCTCAATATAACTTTAAAAAATTTTATATAACTTTTAAAATATTTAAAATTTCATAAGGTTAGCTCAGAAACTTTAAATTTACTTACAATTTAAGTAATACTGTCATTTTTGTTTAGTATTATGTTTGTAGTGCTCTATTTTTTTATTCATAAGAACAAAATCTATTCTTTTCGTACCTAAAACACACACTTGTTTTAGATATAGATTTATATATTAATATTTATATAATACTTCTCGATATAAAATATATTTTCTAAGTTGTAAATAAATAGAGTTTCTTAACAAAAACTCAGCCAATATAAAAGTTAAAATATACATTTCAGTTCAATAACTTTAAAAGTTTAGACAAAAGTTTGGAACTTCCTCATGAAAGAAATGTACGCACTGTACCCTTGATTGTACCTCTACAAATAGGGCATTTTCTTAGGGAAGGCGCACACTCCTTGCACACCACCAGATGACCACAAGGAATAAACACTATGGACACTTCCTTGTCCATACACACTTTACATGTTCTTTCTTCTTGTAATCTCCTCAACTGTTCTTCCACTGGTAAATCTAAGAAAAGAAAACACATTTTTTATTAAGAAATTTGCTGCTTCTCTAATAAGCCAAGAGAATAAAAACAATGCTTTCCACTGTTTTAGAATATTAATAGTGTTTTACCTGAAACGTCTTCTGTAGGAATATACTTTATGTCCTGTTGCACTAAAGAAGAAAAAGAAAAAGCATTACTATATCAAAGAGGGTTGAAATTTAGCCCCAGAAAATATATTTTCAGAGTAATGGTTTAGACTGGCCAAATACTATCAATAATAATTAGAATGAAACAAGAATCTTTAACCTTTTTGTTCAATTAAGAATTACAGTGTTCAGACTATGAAATGAATAATTTGAATATCAAAAGAAAATTATTTTTAACCATGACATGTTATTAATGAAAACATATTTTCAAGTGCCCTAAATTTTTCCCCAAAGTAGCTTTGTTGCACTTACCAAATAAATTCTTATATAACATGGGATCATTTTCTTGCAGAGATTTTCTGAATACAGTGGCTGCATTATTTCCTTTTACTAGAATGGTATCAATCAGTTCTCTTGCTTGTAAAGGTATTTGTGTTTTCTGTTTAATCACATCATGCTCTTGTTCATTAATTACTCTGGAAATCAGTAGACTATCCAGGATTGGAAGCACACAAGTCAAATGCTGAAACAGTGCCATTCTGTTCTTCCGGATTAATGACAGATCATCTTTATTTTAAAAAAGGAAGAAAATACAAACTTGTTCAAAGCTGCTTATAAAGTTCCTTATGCTTTTATACATATAATTAAGAGAAAACTAACCAAAATACTACATTATTCAGGCTTTGAAGCTAACTGCTGGGTTAGGGAATATCTAATCAAAAGATAAAAAATCCTCACCACTGGACCAATGGATAGCATCATGGTAGATGGGGAAAAAAGATTGAAGCTGTCAATTATTTCATTTTACTAAGATCCACAATCAATATTATGGGAGCAACCATCAAAAAATGTATTGCATTAAGAAAATCTGCTGTCTGGTTGTAACCAAAACAGCATAGTACTGGTACAATGACAGGCACATAGACCAGTGGAATAGAATTGAGAACCCAGAAGTAGACCCAGCTATCTATGGTCCACTGATATTCAACAAAGAAATAAAACCTATCAAATGGGGAAGTAACAACCTCTTCAACAAATGATGCTGGCAAAACTGGACTGCTACCTGCAGAAAGCTCAAACAGGATCCACATCTCAAATCATACACAAAAATCAACTCAAGGTGAATCACAGACTTGGGAATAAAGCCCCAAACAATAAAGTTCATCAGAGACAAACTGGGATCAAGCTTAGAAGGTCTATTCTATGGTACTAAGAGACTGACAAATACAGCCAGAAATGTACAATCTGAAGAGGATAAAACTGATGAGAGGGACTGTCTAAAGATTAAATCTCTGTGTTCATCAAAAACTTTTCCAACAGGGTGGAAAGAAAACCTACCAACTGGGAACAAACATTTGGCAATATCATCTCAGACAAGAGTCTCATAACAAAAGTTTACAGAGTACTCCTTGGCCTCCATAAGAAAAAAGACTGATAATGCAATTACAAAATGGGCAAAAGACATGGAAAGAATTTTCACAGAGGAAGAGATTTGAATGGCAAAAAGACACATGAATTAATGTTCCAAATCACTGGAAATAAGAGAGATGCAAATCAAAACCACAATGAGGTACCATTTCACTCCAGTAGCAGTGGCAAAGTTTAACAGGACAGCAAGTAATTAATGTTGGGGAGAATGTGGTGAGATAGAACACTTATACATTGCTGGTGGGATTGGAAAATGGTACAACTACTCTGGAAGGCAGTTTGGTGCTTCCTCAAAAAGCTGAACATAGAAATTGCATATGACCTAGGTATTCCACTGCTTGGAATATACATACCCCAAGAGAAAGAGAACTGAGGCACAAATGGAGATTTGTACACCAATGTTCATAGCAGCATTATTCACCATCTTAAGAACATGGAAACAGCCCAGATGTCCAACAACAATAGAATGGATTGAGAAGTTGTGGTACATTTATTCATACAATGGAATACTATACAGCATGCTGGAGCAATGATTTTGTAAATTACTACCTAACTGGGGAGAGACTGGAAAGCATTATGAGGAGTCAATTAACTCAGTCCCATAAGGATAAATATTGTATAAAACCATTATTGCAGAATGAGTATGAGAATCCAAGGGTGGAGAAAGGTGGAAGCAGAGGGGTGAGGATGGGTAGAGGGGTAGGGTGTTAACTGTAGGTTCAATGGGGGGGATGGGTGAAGGAAATGGGAAGGATCTTTTGTGAAAAACAGTGTATTAAAACTTTGTGAATAAATCAGTATAAATATATATATAAAAGAAAATCGGCTGTCAAAGACCCCTTTAAAATGCTAAAAAAATGAGTAACAATGTCCATTTAAAGACTCAAGTGCATCAGATCCAAGCCATAGTCCTTTTAACCGCTTCCCATGCTTCTGAAAGTTGGACAGTGGATAAGGAAGACCAAAGAATAATTGATGCCTTTAAATTGTGGTACTGGTGAAGAATAAGTAGTCCATGGAGTGCCACAAGAACAAATAATTTTGTCTTGAGGAAATGCAACCAGGATTCTCCATAGGGGCAAAGATGGTGTAGCTGTGTCTCATATATTTTCACCATGTTTTTAGGAGAGGTTAGTTCTCAAGAAAAGACACCATGCTGGGAAAAGTAGCAGGTCAGAGAAAGAGAGGAAGACCCTCAAAGAGATAGATTGACACAGTGACTGCAACAGTGGGCTTGAGCATGGTGGAGATTGTGAGGATGGCAAAGGATAGGCCAAGGCTGCAATCTGCTGTTCATGAGGTTGTTATTGTCGACTCCTTGGCATTTAACAACAAATCTCCCTTTGCCTCATCATAATGCTAAATGTAATAAGGACAAGCACTTAACGAGTACTATGTTAAGCAGTCTGTACATATTAACTCATTTCTTCCTCACAACAACAGCTCCCTTTATCCTAACAATAATATTCTCACAAGACAGATAAGAAAACTGAGGCACACTGAGCCAAGGAATTTCCCAAAGGACACACATAACAAGCAAAAGTCAAACCAAGACACTTTGACATCAGGATTCATATTCTCAGTCATGTGGAAAAACAGATAAGCCTTTAAACCAAATAAACTTTACAATATAAAATTGTCATTCCTGTTCAATATAATATTGACATTCCAAGTCAAATTGGGGAAAGGTCAAATCAAGAGAAATGAAAATGAAATTAAAATTAATTAACATAGAGTTTTATCATGATCTATAAACTACTGAGCTATCTGAAGTAATAGGACACACAAGAGAAAGTATTTCATAATGTGAATTTAATATTTTCATATTTATATTTAATATTTTTCTTGGGAAAATATAAATATTTTGTAGCCAGGAGGCTTTAAATTGCAGGCAGTCTATAGACAATTGTACATGGATAATCTTTGTTTCAAGTAACTGTTGACTGGTAAACAAGGGCTTTTAAGACCGAGAAGAGTATCTTTTGGTAGGGCATGTCAGCCTGATCTTCACTTTCATAGTGAAAAAGAGAACTTGTCTATGCTGGGCAAAGATGGACTTGATCTGTGCCATCTGATCGTATATAAAAACCAGTTGTCATCAAAAAGATGCTGACTTTGGTGTGAGCAATGTATATCAGAATAAACCCTGTGTTCCATAGGATTTTTAATGGCTAAGTGGAATCCACTACCTAAATAACATGCTTCTGGAAATGAACTCTGAGAAACGATGATAGTTATAGAAAGGCTTTAGGTCTTTTGTTCATAGGGTCACTATGAGTCGTGCTCGACTCTATGGCAATCAACATCAACAACAATAATTTCTAAGAAACAGAGAAGCACATTTTTCTACGAAGGCACCTCTGAATAGACTCAAACCTTTAACCTTTTGGCCAGCAACTAAAAATGTTAGCCATTTGCACCACCCAGGTACTCTACTTTGTACTTTAGTAACTGTACTGATACTGAATTACTGTGTCATCAGGGTCTAATATGTTAATCTGGGTGTGGTCATAAAACAGGCCCAACTTCATGAACAGTGTATTTCTCCATGTAGCAGAAAATCTCATGTCAGTCATTTTATGGAGCAATATATCCCCAGACAGCCCTGTAAGAAGGCAAGGAGCAAACTTTTCACTCTCTAAACTCTGTTAAGGGTTCTCTGGTAGCATAGTTGAATCCGCCAAATGCTCCTCTGGAGAATGATGATGGGAAATCTCTGTGCAATTCACAGTCTCTGAAAGTTGCCGGAGGGTCAGCTATGAGTTGATTGAATTGAAACTTTATGAATATTTGGAGACTTGAACTTCGGTATGGGAAAACACATGTATCTTCCTAATATTAGCGTAAATTGACCACAGCTACTCAGAGATAAAGCAGAAGCTAGGCAGAGAATCATGAGGATGGGCTTAGGGGGACCAAGAAATTTGAAGTTGTAAATTACACTCTGAGATAATTCCTGTCTGTTATTCTCAAATCTTTAGTAAATCTTATTTAAAATTATAGTCTGTTTTCAGTTGCATTGAAGGGACTTAGTGGATGGCTTTGGGAAGAGTGGCAAACAGACATCAATATTCCTCTTTGTCCTAGACATGAGTGATGTTAATGAGAGTCCTACATGAAAACGGGCACGCCGAGAGTTTGTGTGAAGGACAGTAGAGTAGTGGACAAGGTTATTATGGAAGGACATGAGGGTAACCTGTGCTGAAAGCATGTGACACACAGCCTAGGACTTCCCTAAATAATGGGCACTAAATAATGGAAAGAGCTTATCTTCTTTGGGAAGTAGAGAACTTAGTCATAAGTGTGCATTAAATATCGTTTACAGGCTGAGAAACTGTTATATTAATAATAAAACTTAAGAGTTACAAGATTAAAATTAGGGAGTTCTACTGGCTTAGTGGCAGAGAACTGGCACTCCCAACACAAAGGAAAGTAGCTCGAACACACCAACTACTCCAAAGGAGAAGGATGGACAATCTCCTCCTGTGCAGTTTACTGCCTCTGAAAACCCACTGGATAGTAAGCTATACGTCAGTTCTGACACAAAAGTACACAACAACAAAAATATTAAAATTATTATTTGTCACTGACCATATTCCAGGTTACAGTAAAGAGTAAGATCTAGCCTGGAATAAAAAATGTGCTTTGAAAAACCACATGTACAGTCAACTACCCAGAGTAAAATTATGAATCAGGGAAAAGAGTATTTTTACTAAACAGATATGTTTTCTATTTTCCAAGTAACTAAATTAAATTATCATTTAAAGTGAAAAAATTCTTCAGAATTCAAATTCAAAATACTTAGAATCAGAAAAAATCTTACTGGACTGAGTTACGAATATTTTCAGTAACTTCAAGCAATAGCAAATCCTTATGAAAACAGGAACTACATAAATAAATATACATACCTGATTCTTTCTCCTCAGCTGCTCTTTCTTTCTCCTCTTCTCTTATCTCATCTTCTGCATTGAGTAAATCTAATACCAGATCACTCACAGTTTTATAATTCTCCCCAGCAGTTAGGATTTTACTCTGAACTGTCTGCTCGACCAGCCTTCTGCCAAAGCCCATCTCCAAGGCAGCCTTCACCACTGGTGTATTCATCATAACAGCATCTTCTGAATGACTTTCTCCAGGTCCAAAGTGAATAACTACAAGGAACAAATGGTTTAATACAGAATATGATATGCTGTACGCTTTTTAACAGAAAGTTGCTACACTACTAGAAAAACATAAAATTCAGATAATTTACAGACACTATTGTATTTGTTCAATTTAGTGACTAAAGTTAGAATATGGAATATTATGTTAAAATATAAGATACTCATTATTTAGCATAACTAGATTTATTGAGTGATTGGTTCACTGAGTGAAGAAAAAAGGTATTTGGTAGATAACTTTTCTTTCCTTATCAATATTTCCTTGATGTGTAGATTTGTCTGTACTCCTTAAACCATTAGTTCTATTATGCAAGTAGAAGTTAAGAATCTCATGCTCCCATTGTTATCCCAGAACAGTGAATACACAATAAATATTTGTTGAATTTAACTAAATGCAAGAGAATGATGTGGAAGAGTTTGCTCAAGAAAGGGTTCCATAAGCTTTTGCATTTTAGATAGGGGACAAGTCACTTAATCTCCTTGAGCCGCAGTTTCCCTACTGAAGAATGGGAGTATTCCCCCCATTCCATAGAAAGAATGTGTGAGGGATCTGTCACAGTACATGTAAGAAGAAGGGCTTGTTAAAATCCAGATTCCTAAACACTACCTATAGGGACTGTTTCAATTCAGTAAGTCTGAAGCAGAGACTGGAAGTCTGTAATTTACTCAAGTTCTCCAGGAAATTATGATATATATATTGATGTTTGAGAAATTATAACTTAAACTGTTAGAAAATGCATCACTATTAATTATACTTTTAGTATACATCAGTAATATAAACTTTCAATCTTAACAGCAACAAGAGGTTCTATTTAAATACAGCTGCTATTATACGTACTTGGCAACTCTGCATTTTCATCTTCTGGAGTATCTGAAGTGGATAAGAGCTGTGAGGGGGAAAAGCACATACAGATTAAAATATAAAGCTTATTCTACCTATTCCTATTTAAAAACTTCTTTTGATCAATTTATCATAAACTGAGCTACTGGCCAAATAATTTTTTTTAATCAAATGCAGTATTTCAAAAGTTATTTCCTAAGCCATGAACTAATAGGGTTTCTTCATCTATGTGTATGTTTAACAAGTGAAATCTATTCTCATTAAGGTTTTCAGTGATATATAAGACCAATCATGTTTGTTTTTCATTCCTAACTATCCTTTGGGATGTTGGGCCCTGTATCAGTTCTGTTGGCAATGGCTACGAAGTGCATGATCCTCCAATGTAAATTCTTAGTTGCTTTTTCAGAAAGTTTAGAAATGACAACTTAGTTTTTCAAATCTATTTCTAAAAAATTCATATAGGGAAATTATCAAATGCTATTATTTCAACCATTTTCCCCTCGCAAATAGTTAAATTTATGGCAACTTGACTACAGGAATGTTTAGTTACTTTTCCAGGAAGTTACTGATTATTATTCTATTCTTTCCAAAATAGTATTTTTAAATTCATGCTGAATTTTATAAAAAAAGTAAATTGTAATCATTGCTTTTAATGAGAGTCTTGTTATTTCACTGAAATCAAACTCAACTCAAACTCATGAGTTGGAAACAACTCATAGCTGATCCTCTATTAGGTTTTCAAGCAACCAGACTCCCTACAGACTCTCTTCACCAACATACCATTCTGTAATTGTCAGAAAAGAATTTGTTACTAACCAATAATCTGGAGCCTTGGGAACCCTATGTGCAGGTTTAATCCTATCAAAGGGCTAAGAATTGGAATCAACTTGACAATAACAGCTTTTGAGGTTTTACGAAATAATTTAAAAACAAAGAAACAATCTCTCCTACCTGTTCAAGGAGGTGAGGGTAACTGGCTTGAACTCTATTTATAAACTCTTGGCCTTTAACTCTCATCAAGTACTCACACCTGAATGTAAAAAGAAAAGAAAAATTTTAAAAAAGAAAAGTGAGGTGAGGCTAGCATTATTTTATAGTGGAATTCAAATATTAGCAACTTAAGTTCCTTCATTCTAGGTATTTATCTCATTTTACATCTGGTTAGTTGCTGCATATCATAGAATCATTTGGAATTACTGATTCCAAACTTTTAAGAAGAACAGATAAATGCATTGGGAAAGTCTGCTGTCAGGGATCTTTCCAGAGTACTGAAGAGCAATG